GGGGAAATTGTTACTGAATATGTTAAAGCTGTAATGAAATGCTTCTTCTAATCATGTGGTTATTAAATAAAAATAAATTAAAAAATAAAAAAAAAAGCCTGTGGTACTAGGCCAGATGTCGTGGTGCACACCTTTGGTCCCAGCGCCCAAGAGGCAGGGGCAGGTGGATCGCTGTGAGTTCAAGACCAGCCTGGCCTCATAGCAAGTTCCAGGTCAGCCAGGGCTACACAATATGACCCTGTCTCAGAACAAAACAAAATAACAACCACAAAACAAAAAACAACAACAATAAAAATGCCCACTATGGTATCTTACTTTCAAAGCAAATCCAAGAGCACTCTTCAGGCATACCCTGCCCCACCATGGCCCAGAGATCTAGGCCTCTCAAGGAAAACAACGTCCATTGCTTTGAGTTTACAGTCATGAATTAGAAACCACATAAGCAAATGAACTCCAAGAGAGTTAGCAGGTTTCTTCGTGAACCAAAATCTCAGGGGCATGGCTGCTTTCATAACATCCTTTTTCCTCTGGCTTTGGAACCTTTTCATTCAACTTGGGAAGTCTTTCTACTGGGAGAGGTGGATGAAACACTTCCCTCAAACAGTGAGTAAAAAGCTTCTGGGAATCTTGGAATGAACCATTTAGTGACATACAACAGAATTTTGCCTTGTAAAAGTAGGTGAGATTCAATTTGAGCCTCAAAAAAACAAAACAAAACAAAAAAAAAAACCCAAAATACAAAGCAACTGAAGGGGAAATGGAGAAAAGGTTAAACTCTTAACATCCCCACTCTCATTCTTAGGCCTGGGTTGTGGAGGCAGGTTTCTGAGATGTAAAAACTGTAGCCAGCCATTTCCACAGGCTGTTTTCTCTTTCCTGCAGAGGAGAAACACCTCCACATTCTAGTCAACAACGCAGGAGTGATGATGTGCCCCTACACTAAGACAGCAGATGGCTTTGAGATGCACATTGGAGTCAACCACTTGGGTAAGAAGACTGACCTCGTTACACAGCAAGAGGGAATCTAAAGCTCTCAGAAAACTTAAGAGTCATCCTGAGACTTTTCTGTGGCATCATTGGAGCTCAGGGCCATGACTGACTATGCATGAATAATAAATAGCTGAGAGCTACCTAAATGCTCAGAGCTAGACCTGAGGCTTGCTCCAGGTTCTAATTTTGGCTTTAAAGATTTATTTTTACTTTTTTATTTGTGTGTATGTGTGTGTGTATCTGTATATATGCCACATATGTGGAGTGCCCATGGAGGCCAGAAGAGGGCACTGGATTCCCTGGAGTTGGAGTTACAGTCAGTTGTTAGCTGCCTGATATGGATGCTGGGAACCAAAATCTGGTTCTCTGGAAGAGCAGCAAGTATACTTAACTACTAAATCATCTCTCTAGCCTCTGCCTACTAAGAACAAAAGATTATTTATTCATTCATTCATTTATTTATTTTATTTTATTTTTTATTTTATGTGTATGCGTGTATTGCCTGCATGTAGGTAAGTGCACCCATGTCGTGCAATGCCCGCGAAGGTCAGAAGAGACCATTGGATCCCCTGGCACTGGAGTTACGGACAGTTGTTAGCTGCCATGTGGGTGCTGGGATTCAAATCCAGGTCTTCTGCAAGAACAACCAGTGTTCTTAACTGCTGAGCCATGTCTCCAGCCCCTATTTATTTAGTTTTGAAAACGGGTCTCCCTGTAGCCCCAGCTGATCTGGAACTTGCTATGTAGGCCAGACTGGCCTTGATCTCACAGAGATCTGCCTGCCTTTGCCTCCTGAGTGCTAGGATTAAAGGTGTCCACCACCATGCCCAGCTTAAATATGTGTGTGTGTGTGCCATGTTTGTACAGGTACCTGTGGAGCCCAGAAGAGGACATCAGAGTCCTTGGAGTTAGAAAGTTACAGGTGGTTGTAAGCCATCTGGCATGGGTGCTGGGAACCATGTTCTCTGGAAGACAGCAAGCACTTTTAACTACTGAGCCATCACTCTAGCTCCTTTGCTGACTTTGTGCGTGTGCATGTGTGTGTAAGTGTGTATTTGTTTTGTTGGGGTTTGGGGAGTTTTTCTCTTTTGTTTTGGGGTTTTTTTCTTGTTTTTTTTTTTTTTGAGACAGGGTCTCACTATATAGCCCTGGCTCGCCTGGAACTTGATATGTAGACCAGGCTGACCTCAAATTCATAGAGATCCTCCTGCCTCTGCTTCCTGAGTACTAGGACTACCAGCACCACTACTCTGGGCTCTCTGCCTACTTTTAAAATCTGTGACTCAGATTTGATTTGCCTCAGGGCATATTTGAACACCTCAATTGAACTGAGGGTTGTACTGCTTTCTTTTTAAACTTTTTAAAATTATTTTTTATTTGTGTAAGTGCACCTGTGTCATGCAGTGCCCCAGGAGATCAGAAGAGGGCATTGGATTCCCCTAGAACTGGAGTTATGGACCATTGTTAGCCACCATGTGGGTGCTGGCAGTCAAACCCAGGTTCTCTGCAGGAGCAGCCAGTTCTCTTAACCACTGAACCATCTCTCCAGCCCTGTATTCTTATGGCCAGCATCAGGTAGAAGCCACCTACTCTTTTTATGTTTGTTTATTTGGGAACAGGGTCTTGCTATGTACCTCAGACTGACTTCTAACTTATGATCTTCTGCCTCAGTCTCCTGAGTGCTAAGGTTAAAGGTGTGTATCATTCTCCACTCTTAAGAACTGATGTTAACTTCTGTTGAAATGAGTCAGGACTTCACATCCATAGCACAGACCTGCTTATAATATCAAGATATCTTGTGCCTTTGGCTATTTCTATTTTCTTAAATCTCCTCTGAACTTGTTCTCTAATTGATAGTGAAAAGTTGAGGGCATTATTCCTGAGTTCTCTATCTCCTGTAGCTGAACCCTGCTCACCACTAAACCTCTTATCCCCACCTCAGTGGTGAACTCTGTTAATCCTATTTTTTTCTCAACAGGCCACTTCCTCTTGACTCATCTGCTACTAGAGACACTAAAAGAATCGGCCCCATCAAGGATAGTCAATGTGTCTTCTTTGGCACATCACCTGGGAAGAATCTATTTCCAAAACCTGCAAGGCGAGAAATTCTACATTGCAGGTCTAGCTTATTGTCATAGCAAATTAGCCAACATTCTGTTTACTCGGGAACTGGCCAGGAGGTTGAAAGGTGAGTGTGGGAGAAATCTGTGTAACAGACAGGAGTCAGGGGAAAATCGCTAAAAGCCACAGAGTAAGAACTGTTTTCCAGAGCCCATCACCTGGACAAGATCTGCTTTCATGAGCATAATTTAGTATGATTTTAGTAAGCAGCCCACACTGAATATTGGAGATAGCTGACTGCAGACAGGGAAATTCTGACTTGAATGTGAAGGTGTGGCTTTACTGCTTACTATCTGTGTGACCTGCAGCAAGTTACTGAGCTTTTCAAGATTTAGTTCCTCCTTTGTAAAATGAGGATTGCTTCATAGGTTATTGTGATCATTCATTCAGTCCTTATAAGTGAGCGGGATTTTTCGCTCATAGTGATACCAAGTAAAAAGGGACCTGAAACAGCACTTAGTGCAGCCATTGGGATGAAGCATGTACTCAGATTGGCAGGCAGGAGGAGGGGCATCTTTCTAATAGCAAAAGGTCAAATGAGAGGGAAAGTATACTTGAGATTGGAATTCTGTAGTCACAGAGGAGAGGTCCTTAGCATTGTCTGCTGTGGATTTCCAATAAAGAAAAGGAGAATCTAGGATGGGCAATGCTTAGGAATTGAGTCAGGCAGAATACAAGCTCAGGAATCAGATGCTAGAGTCCAACTATTGAAACAGGGTCATTAAACCACACAGACAGATGCAAAACTGGTGGTCATCTCTGACCAAATGCCCAGTCTGTGCCCAGGGCAAGATATCCTTTATCACCTCAGGATGAGTGAGGAGAAGTAATGGTGAGAACTACTAAGATGGCCTGGAGGTGGAGAGATGCATCCAGTTTGAGTAGGTAAAAGCAGAGTATAGACCAGTGAGGCAGCCCTGAGGGTTGTGAGGATTAAGTAGGAAATAGCAGGGTATCAGTGTAAGAGAAGATTCATTCAACCATCCCACAGACATGCACCCCATCCCCTAGTTAGAGGGTTGGGGATGAGGTAAAGGACAAGACAGGTACAGGCTCTTCCTTCATTTGGTTTACAGCTAATGGGGGAGAAAGAGATTAACAAATATTTGTATAACTGCCACACGTAAAATCAGTCTAATTATATATGAATAAAACTACAAGATGTTCAAATAGTTAGTTTAGAAGTATGTAGAATTAAAAGCAGAAGCCTCCATTCATCCCCCCACCCCCCACACGCTGCACATACACTTTTTCCCCTTCAAGTATCACTGTCAGCAACTGATTGTGCCCTTTCCAGTCATGGAAACTGGGATCTACAGGTCTAACAAGATCTTGGTGATCTTTCCATGCAATGCATCCAAATCTACCCCCACTCATTTTGTTGGCTGTGTTATATTTCATAGTAGAGTTGTATTTTAGCTTGTTTATCCACTTCCCTGACATTAATACTATTACATTTTTTTTTACTTTCATTATAATTATGATTCTGTTACAAAGGAGAAGGTCAGCCAGGCGTGGTGGTGCACACCTTTAATCCCAGTAGTTGGGAGGTAGAGGCAGGCGGATCTCTGTCAGTTTGAGGCCAGCCTGGTCTACAGAGCATTCTAGGCCAGCTGGGGCTACAGGGAGACCCTGTCTCAAAAAGACAAAAACCGGTGGGGCATGGTGGCGCATGCCTGTGGTCCCAGCACTCCGGGAGGCAGAGGCAGGCGGATCTCTGCGAGTTCAAGGCCAGCCTGGCCTACATAGTGAGTTCCAGGTCAGCTGGGGCTACAGGGAGACCCTATCTCAAAAAGACAGAAAAAAAAGAGACTAAAACCAAACAAACAATAAAACAAAACAAACAAAGGAGAAGTCCAAGGGCCTGTATCATGGATTTGGGGGAACCTTATTCAGTCTGAGAGTTCAGGAGGATTTCTCTGGGGAAAGAAATTGCAAACTGAATCCTGAAGGAAGATTAGAAATTAGACAGGTGTGGAGGGAGGAGGGAGGCTGAGGAACATTCTAGGCAGATAGAAGAGAATACATGAATATCTGGGCTGAGAAGGAGGCAGCTATGATGGTTACCATAGAGGCTGGAATGAGACTGAAAGGTGGGTAGAGGCCACATCTTTAGACACTGCAGAAGAGATGTTAATGTTTATTCTAAAACAGTAGATACCTTTTTAAATTGAAGCCTTTTAGGAATAAGTAGATGTGGATGCCACAGGCTATTTTAGTAGTTGAGGTGGAAAATGAAGATAGCTTGAACTAGGGTGGTAGAGATGGAGGAGTCATCACCCTGAGCAATATATAGGAAGTGAAAACCACAGGGCCTGCTGTGCATATGTATGGTGAGGAACTGTGAAGACTGGCTTCTGAGCACAGCATGAATCAGGTTTGGGCTGATAGAAGTCTCTGTTAGTCTCTGAGCCTGCATTACTGTGGGTCTTCTAGGATGTAGACTGGGTAGCTGGTAGTAATACCAGCCCCACAGTATGTTGTCTGCAGCTGTCAAATCCATAAAGGCTTTTTCCACAAGTTTGCCATCAAATTCATTTGGCAATAAAGTCTTACCTATACTAGGGAGACTCGATAATAGACAGCACATGCTCCATATTACTTTTCTGAAATAAGGAATTTGAGTCATTTTTGTCTTCAAGGTTTCCAATAAAGGATTGGTGACCCAAAAGAGCATGTTTGCAAAAGTGCCAGGCATCATTCTAAGCTTTTTCACATGTAGGAACCTATCCACAGAACAACCATGTGTGGCACCAGTGTAATGAGCCTGTCCAAGGTCATAGTCTGGCCTCCGGGCCCATGCTCTTTACCTCCTCCTTGTGTTGGCTCTCAAAGTCAGTTTAGAATTCAAATGAGCAGTTTGGGGGCATAGATTCAAAAATGTGAGGGCTGGAGAGATGGCTCAGTGGTTAAGAACACTGTTCTTGCAGAAGACCCAGGTTCGAATCCCAGCACCCACATGGCAGCTAACAACTGTCCGTAACTCAAGTTCCAGGGGATCCGACAGTCTCTTCTGTCCTCCAAGGGGATTGCACGACATGGGTGTACTTACCTACATGCAGGCAATACACTCACACACATAGAAAAAATAAAAAATAGTAAATAAAATTTTTTTTTAAGTGACATCATAGAATTGTAAAAAGAGAATTCAATGAGCTATGAGAAGTCCAAGATTTGCTGTTTGGGTAGAAACGATGAATGAGGACATCCAGAAATGTAGCAAGGTACCTAGAGGATCAACACTGAGAGGCCTGGGCTTATGGAAGCCAGTGGGAAAGAAGCCTAAGAAGGAGGGAGGGGGATGGCCAGCACCATAAAGAGCTGCTGAGAGGCTGAGTCCTGGTTCTGCTGTATTGGAGCAGAGAAAAGCCTCTCTGAACCCTAGCTTCTGAGTTGTGAAAGTGAGGTGTAAATGACAGTGATAGTGCTTGTGATGTCTCTAAGAGTATGGGGGGGTGGGGGGGTTATCTGTGGAGGTAACATGTTTCTTTACCTCCTTTGCTGTCTTTGGCTATTGTGTAAAATCAATTCCTATCTCCCCTCTGTACATGGCACCTGCCCATACCAGGCTCTGGAGTGACGACATATTCTGTCCACCCTGGCACAGTCAATTCTGAACTGGTTCGGTACTCATTGTTTATGAGATGGATGTGGCAGCTTTTCGCCTTCTTCATCAAGACTCCTCAGCAAGGAGCCCAGACCAGCCTGTACTGTTCCTTAACAGAAGGCCTCGAGAGTCTAAATGGCAGCCATTTCAGGTATGAAAAGTATCTGTCTTTAAAAATGAAGTTTTTTTTTTGGTTTTTTTTTTTTTTTTTTTTGGTCTTTTTGAGACAGGGTCTCCCTGTAGCCCCAGCTGTCCCGGAACTCACTACTCACTATGTAGACTAGGCTGGCCTTGAACTCACAGACCTCCGCCTGCCTCTGCCTCTTGAGTGCTGAGATTAAAGGCGTGCGCCACCATGTCTGGCTTGAAAATGAAGTTTTATTGCCTAAAGGAAATAACTTGGATTTATCTGGTACACTATACTCTTTTTTTTTTAGTATAAAAATTATATTGTCTGTGCTGGGCAGGGTGTCCCATGCCTTTAATCCCAGCACTTGGGAGGCAGAGGTAGGTGGATCTCTGTGCATTCAGCTTGGTCTCCATAGTGAATCCAGGCCAGCTATGGCTACAGGGAAACCCTATCTCAAAAGACAAAAAAAAAAAATTACATTGCCTAAAATAGTTTTTGTCTTTTGATTCTAAGCTTTTATCTTTTAAGAAGGGAATTTGACCAGTTCACATTTTTTGTAATACTTTTGAGGTTTGATTTTTTTTTTTTTAGTGCTATCTTTTATACTAATAATTATATTTTCTGTTTCTGCTCTTTATCTTTTCTCTTTTAAATGTCAATCCTGTTTTCTTTTTAGACTCTGACTTTCTGACTTTTTTTTTTTTAACATTAAAGGAATTTGAATCTGTGTTTCTCTCTTGTCTTCAAGACTGAAATGATTCCAATAGAGTCCCTTATTTTGTTTTGCTTACTTTATTTTTTTTCCAGTGCTGGGCATGGACCCTAAGGCCTCTTGCAATGCTAAGGCAATTGTTCTATCACTGAGCTACATCCCCTTTCCTATTTTTGGTCTTTTGACATGTTGTGTTCATGTTTTTGTGTGTGAGGGTAGAGAGGACCCCAGTTTTGTTCCTAGCATCCACATCAAGCAACTCACAACCAGCTGTAACTCCAGCTCCAGGGGCTCCAACACCTCTAGCTTCTGTGGACACCTGCACTGATGTGCACATACATAGACACATACACATAATTTACAATAATAAAAATAAATCTTTAAAAAAGTAAAGTGGATATTCAGTTGAAGCAAGAGTTTTGCATTGTATAATAAACTAAGCACTATACCTGTCCAGTGTGTGATATTTATATGCTATACAAATAGAAATGTGTGGCAGATAGTTGGAAATATGGAAATATGGGTCTGATATTGAAGAAGTATATAAACTACAAAAGCTTTATATAGTTGTTGTTGGTTTTTTTTGTTGTTGTTGTTTGTCTTTTTGAGACAGGGTCTCCCTGTAGCACCAGCTGGCCTGGAACTCTCTATGTAGCCCAGGCTGTCCTCTGCCTCCCAAGTGCTAGGATTAAAGGAGTGTACCACCACACCTGGCTAGGTAATTGACTCTTGAAAAACTTTTCTCAGGCCTTAGATCTTAATTTTACTTAATTTTGAAGATAAACAGCAATCGTGTAAATCACTATCTTGAGATAAACATAAAAGTCTGTTTTGCTAGAAGCCTTGGGACTTTTACACTGGCTGCCCTCTCTGCCTCTTTCTAGTAATCTATTTTCGATCTCGGAGGATTTGCCTGTTCTGGATGTTTCATTTCAATGGAGTCATAAATACTTTCTTTCACCAAATTTCATCCATGCCAAATCATATGTCACTCTTTAATTACTTTTTATTGCAAAGAATATTTCATTGTATGGACATACCACCATACATAAAATAAACATACTTTTTAAAAATGCATTCATCAATAGAGGGGCATATGGGTGTCTGCTTTCTGACTATTTGAACAATGCTGCTATGAACATTCATATAGAATATTTTGGTTTTGTTTGTTTTGGTTTGGGTTTTTGAAACAGGGTCTTACTCTTTAGCCCAAGTTAGCCTGGAACTCATTATGTATTCCAGGCTGGCCTGGAACTCATAGCAATCCTCCTTCCTCTGGCAACTAAATGCTTAAGTTACAGGTGTGCATCACCACACCTGATACAGGTAGAAATTTTATTTGTTTTTGAGACAGGGTCTCACTTTGTAGTGCTGGCTGGCCTGGAGCTCCCTATATAGAGCAGGCTGGCCTTGAACTCAAAGAGATCCTCCTGCCTCTGCCTTCTTAGTGCTGGGATTAAAGCCATGTGCCACCACACCCGGCTCATGCAGAGATTTTAATGTGGACATCCCTCTGGTTGTAGTGGAATTTCTGAGTCATCTAGTAGCTCTGATTGAGGAAATAACAAGCTTTTCCAAAGTGGCTGTACCATTTTATTTTCCAATGGCAGACATATAGAGGTTTGGTTTCTCTACATTCTAGACCCTTGATGTCCATCCATCCTTTTGGTTTTAGCCATCCTGGAGTGTATGAAGTAGTTTCACATCTTCATTTTCCTGCTAATGATGCTATTGAGCATGTGTTTGTCCATTTGGACATCTCTGTTAAAGAAATGTCTTTTCAAATCCTTCGCCAAGTTTTAAATTGTCTTTTTTAAAAAATATATTTTATTTATTATTTTAATTTTATGTGTGTGCATGTATTGCCTGTATGTAGGTAAGTGCACCCATATCATGCAGTAGCTGCAGAGGACAGAAGTGACTGTCGGATCCCCTGGAACTGGAGTTATGGACAGTTGTTAGCTGCCATGTGGGTGCTGGGATTCGAATCTGGGTGTTCTGTAAGAACAGTCAGTGTTCTTAACCGCTGAGTCATCTCTCCAGCCCTAAATTAAGTTTTTTATTATTTAGTTCTAAGAGATCTTTATAGTCTAGATACAAATCCCTTATCAGATATATGACTTACAAATGCATTTCCATATTCTGTGGGATGTCATTTCACATTTTTATTTAGTTATTTATTTAGATTTATTTATGCCCTTGGAGGCCAGGAGAGGGTGTCAGATCCCCTAGAGCTAGAGTTACAGATGGTTGTTAGCTGCCATATGGGTATTGGGAACCAAACCCAGGTTCTCTACAAGAGCAGCCAGTGCTCTTAACCACTGAACCATCTTTCCAGCCCCAATCTCACACTATTTTTTATTGTTTAATTTTTTTTAATTAAAAATTTTTTTAGAAGAAGCATTTCATTACAGCTTTAACATACTCAATAACAATTTCCAGAGCAAAGATACAGTTCTTTCAGACATGGTTATAAAATTTTTAGGTTCACAGTTGAATTAATACAGTTATACAATATTGAACTCAGTATAAGCCCTGTAAGACATAAAATTATATGATTTTTTTAACCTTTATAAAATATCTCCATTTCATTTTAAAATATACTGTTTCCTACAGAAAGACTCATTGTTTTTGCTGTAACCCAGCATAAAACTGGGAAAATGAATGGACCCCAATCTTATCTAAAGGAATGTTGACAACTGATTGCTGGTAGATGAGGAACAGCTGACCTTCCTAAAATAAAGCCCTCTAGATAGGCTCACTAGATTCACCAGATGGACAAGTAGTGGGGAATGGCTGGGGGTGCCGACAACACAGCAGACAGTAGCAGGGATACCAGAGGATAAAGTCTCTAGTGGGGGGGGATGCTATGGGAGGGTGCCATCTGGGAAGTGGGTGTATAGATGAATAAGATTGTTTGGGATGTTCAGTGTGATATACACACAAAAAAATCAACAAATTTAAAAAATGAGTTATATTTGAGGAGGAAGCATGTTAATTAGTAGAGGTGATAAACATTACCATTGAAATCTACCCGATGACTTTATACCCATACACAGGTTCCAAGGATCTGAGTGCAACTGACCATGACTAGTAATAATCAGATATATACTGATTAGAGATGCATGCAGCAATCTCACTTTTTTTTTTTTTGGTCTTTTTGAGACAGGGTCTCCCTGTAGCCCCAGCTGTCCTGGAACTCATTATGTAGACCAGGCTGGCCTTGAACTTGCAGAGACCTGCCTGCCTCTGCCTCCCGAGTGCTGCAATTAAAGATGTGCACCACCATGCCCCTCACATTTTTAATGGTATCCTTTGAAGCACACTTTGTGTTTTGTTTTGTTTTTGGTCTTTTTGAGACAGGGTCTCCCTGTAACTCCAACTGGCCTGGAACTCACTATGTAGACCAGGCTAGCTTCAAACTAACAGAGCTCCACCTACCTTTGCCTCCAAAGTGCTGGGATTAAAGGCATGTACCACTATGCCCAGCAGCACAAACACTTTTTAATTATGTTTTTTAAAATTTTATCTTATGCATATGAGTGTTTTGCTTGCATGTATGTGCACCTGTGCCATGCAGTACCCAAAGAAGTCAGAAGAGGACATCAGATCCCCTGGAACTAGAATTGCAGATGGTTGTTATCCACCATATGGGTGCTAGGAATGAACCTGGGTCCTCTGCAAGAACAGCCAATGCTTTTAATACTGAGCCTTCTCTCCAGCCCCTACTTTTTTTGTGATAAGAATTTTTTTTTTCAATGTATAATTTTATTAAATTTTTGTGTTTCATATGATACATCCTAATCATAGACACACTCCCTCATCTGCACCTCCCCATAGCCCCCCCACCAGATTTCATGCATTCTGTTATGTATGTTAAGGTCTGTAATGTTAAAGTTTATCTGTATGCAGATGTCCCTTGGTGTGAGTTCATCCACTGGAGTCTAGTCAGCCTATCTAAGTCACTCCCTTAAAGAAGATCAACTCTCACCTGGCGGTGATGCCAGCACTTGGGAGGCAGAAGCAGGCGGATCTCTGTGAGTTCAAGGCCAGCCTGGTCTACATAGTGAATTCCAGGACAGCTGGGGCTACATGGATACCCGGTCTCAAACAAACAAACAACAACAGAAAATATCAACTCTCCCTCACCCAACAGTAATTAGCTGCCACCAGTTCCCTGGCTAAGGTTGGGGTTTCTTACCTATGTCTCCAGTTCTGTGTTGGATTTTTGTCTGGGTTGAGTTTGCATGGGTCTTGTGCATGCTGACACCACTGCTGTAAGTATATATGAGCAAATTCCCAGCCACCTGGAAGACTTTCCTTATGATCATGCACCAACCCTGACTCTTACAATCTTTCCATCCCCTCTTGTGTTCCCTGAGCCATGGACAGGTGAGGTTTAATATAGGAATCCTATCCAAGGCCATGTACTCCAGTCTCTTATTCTCTACACTTTGGCCAGTTGTGGCCTTCTGTGTGCATCGCCCTCTGTTGCATGAGGAAACTTTCCTGATGAGAATTGAGAGATATATTAGTATCCTCTGTACCCCCTGTTCCACTATGTTCCATGAGCCTTGGGTATAGAGGTTCCCTCTTATTCTCTGTGAGAAGCATGAATACTTTTAAGATTTATTTTTTATTTTTATTTATGCATGTGTGTGTGTGCCTGTGTGTATGTATGTACACATGTGTGCAGATGCCTGTGGAGGCCAGAAGAAGGAAGAGACTGGTAGTTCTCAGAAAGCAGGGTTAACAGGGTTGGCTCCTGATGAGGGCTTTCTTCTTGACTTGCAGATGGTACCTGCTGTGTCCTCACATGGTCATTCCTCCTGCACATGTTCCTTTTATCTCTTTCTTAAAGGAATGCCATGCCCATCTTACTGCATTGGGCTCCACCCTTATGACTTTGTTGAACCCTACTTATCTCCTTAGAAGCCCTATTGCCAAATATAGTCACCTTGGATGTTAAAGCTTTAACATTTTAGAACATAATTCAATCCATAGTAGTAACCTTATCAGTAATCAATTGTCAGAAATATAGTGGTTTGCACCTGCACCTTTCTGTTCTATTCATTTATGTCATCCTTATTAAGCCAGTAACATTATCTTGATTACTATAACTTTGTAGCAAATTACTTTTTGACATTAGCCAGGCTTTTGCCTGTATTAACTCTTCCCAAAATCTGATTGGAATTATCTACACCGTGACCATGCCGATGCCCTAAGCACAGTAAGTAGCACTTACTATGGTATTTGAATAATTTTTATAGCACATTGTAGCTTTCAAAGTACTTCCATATCCATTGTGTCATTTGCTCTTCATTATGACCTTGAGAAGGGGACAAGACACAGTGCAGTAGAGAATGGTTAACAGAAGCCAGACATTTCCAGAAAGTTGTTCTCCATGACAGCCCTTTTCCTCAGAAAGGCCAGATGTGCTCATAATGCTTTTTCATTTTCAAAAACAGAAGTTCCCTACTTAAAAGGCTGGTTTTATAGACGGGCGTGGTAGTGCACACCTTTAATCTTTAATCCCAGGACTCGGGAGGCAGAGGCAGGCGGATCTCTGCGAGTTCAAGGCCAGCCTGGTCTACACAGTGAGTTCCAGGACAGCTGGGGCTACAGGGAGTCCCTGTCTCAAAAAGACAAAAAAAAAAGGCTGGTTTTATAAATGTGTGAAGATTTTTACATTTATTTATTTGTTTGTTTTTGTGTATGTGTGTATATGTGTGGACACACGTGTCATAGTGTGCATATGGAGGTCAGAGGACAACTTGTGGGAGTCAGTCCTTTCCTTTCCCCATGTGGGTCCTGGGGATTGAACTCAGGTCCTTGGGCATGGCAGCAAGTGCCTTTTTCTGCTGAGCTATCTCACCAGCCCATGTGTGAAGATGTTTTTCGGTGCTGTTTCTTTAGCTTTAGCATGCTGAAGAATCATCTGGGGAACTAGTTGAAAGTAGATTCCTGGACCTTACCCACAAGGGATTATGCCATATGTCAGGCATAAGGCCTGAGAAGCGGCAGGCTCCCAGGTGACATTCTTGCTGCTAGTCCATCACTTTTAAGTTGCAATATCTTAGGGACACAGTGTTAAAGGTTTGTTTCATTTTTTTTATTGTTTTGTTTCTGTTACAGTCTCACTATGTATCCCTGGCTATCCTTAAACTCAGTATATAGCAGAGAATGACCTTGAGCTCCTGATTCTCCTGCCTCTACTTCCCATGTGCTGGGATTATAGGCATGAGCTACTGTACCCAGCTTGAAAAAAATCTAAAACTTCTAAACAGCCAGACTATTCACAATAACCCAGTGCTTACCCAGCTAGTAGAGTTCATCAGAATAAATGGCTGATGTAGATACTGGGCTTGCTTTGATCCCTCCCAACCCTGCAGGTTGAAAGAACTTCTGATTTTATTTAAACCTGTTCATGAAAAGGATCTGGAGAGAAACTCTTGCTGGGTAAGAGCTTCAATCCCCTGTAGCTGTAGCGATGAGGACAGAGTTGCTGGCACCTGGTGCCATAGGGAGGTTAGTGGTCCTCTGAGGAGTCCTTTCTCACTGCAAATGAGGTTTGAGCCTAAAGCAGTCTCTCAGCTGTGACACTTGTCCTTTGAGACCAGATAATTCTTTCTTCTGAAAGACTGCTCTGTGCATAGTAAAATGTTGAGCGACAGCTCTGCCTTCCACCCATTAGATAGCAGTAGAACCCCACTACCACTAGTTGTGGTAGTAGCTACAACAGCATATTACCCCTGATAGAGAACTAGTGCCCTAGAGGACAAAGCAGGGACAAAGGATAAGGAGAACCCTGGTACTAGTATGCACTAGTGGAGCTATAAAGGTGGCTCAGCCAGTAACTACGTTATGTTAGTCCAAACTGGTTTTGTTCCTGTTCCACCAGCATTTCTAGCTAACAACCCTCATGTGACCTGCACAGTTCATATGAGGATCTGAGTTCAATCCTCAGCACATATATAAAAACCAGGTAGCCAGGCATGGTGGTGCACGCCATTAGTCCCAGCACTTGGGAGGCAGAGGCAGGTGGATTTAAGTCAGTTCAAGGCCAGCCTGGTCTACACAGTGAGTTCCAGACCATCTGGGGCTACAGGGAGATCCATCTCAAAAATACCAAAAAAACAAAAAACAGGCAATGGTGGTATGCACCTGCTGTCCCAGCACTTGAGAGGTGAAGACAGGAAGATCCTTGGGGCTTGCATGCCAGGAGGTCTAGCTGAAATGGTAGCTCCAGGTTCAGTGATAGACTCTGTCCCCCAAGAAAGGTGGGGAGTAATTGGGAAGACACCTACTGTCAATTTCTGGCCTCCATACACATGTGTACATGCACCTGCACACACGTGCACATATATACACAAACATGTATATACACACACACATATACACAGAAAATGTACTAGATACAGAGAATATAAAATGGGAATTGTCCTTGAGAAAATACTCTCAGTGGCACAGAGTTTGGGTACCCCTCCTGCAGAATTAGAGCAATGAAGAGAAGACATCTGAAATACCTTTTTCTGGCTTGAATGTTTCCCCCTAGTGTGTGGGAAACTTAACCCCCAACACAACCATGTTGAGAGTTGGGACCTTCAAGAGGTCATACAGTATTATTACCATTATTATGGGAGTGAGTTTGGTATAGTGGACGTGGCTTCCTTATAAAAGGATGAATTGAGCCTCTTTTTACTTACTTTTGTACTTTCTATTCTCCCCTACCCTGCCTCCACGTGACAGGGCTTCAAGCATACCAGACAGTGTTCTACCACTGAGCTACAACCCTTTCTCATGTAACAATGTCTTCTGCAACCCGTGTAAATCTCAGCTGCTTGACACTGTCCAAGGCCCTTTAGGGTAGACTTTGTGGGCTTATTTGAAGATGGACCTGCACATGTGTCATACAGACACTGATATTAAATATGTATATAGGGGACTATAAAGACCAAATGATGCACATTATGTAGCAGACAAAACATTCTGATTAGAGGTGTTACAGTGAGAACATGTAAATATTTTCTTGGGGAAATGATTGGAGAATGAGCTGGATTCAGTGGCAAGGGCCTATAATCCTAGTATTAGAGTCAGAGACAGAAGGATCATGAGTAACTGGCCAACATAGAGAATCCTCTCTCTCTCTCTCTCTCTCTCTCTCTCTCTCTCTCTCTCTCTCTCTCTCTTTCTCTCTCGCGCGCGTGCGCCACTGGCCCTGTGAAGTACCTAGGGGCCATGTGAGCCTTCAGTTGTTTTTTTCTGTCATATTCCTTATCCCAGGTAGAGAGCAAATTCCATTCTTAACCCTCTGTTTCAAGCTTCTGTGTTTTCTTTCCAGTGACTGCCAATTGGCTTGGGTCTCTGCCCAAGCTCGTAATGAGACAGTAGCAAGGCGGCTGTGGGACATCAGCTGTCACCTGCTGGGACTCCCTGTGGATTGGTAAGTGGTGACGTTTGAACTCAATGAAGTTTGGAGTAGACAATGCAGTATTCTTCTTCAAAGTGGCCAAAACCTTGAGCACAAAGAGAACAGAACCTTTTAGCCTTGCCTGCCTGGTATCCATCCAGTTAAATTTGAGTACACTGCCAGATTCCTCTAAATACCTTGTTTATCCAGACTTACTTTGTTCCTGTTCCTGCTGATGTCTCTAGCAATACCACTGGATAAGATGACCCTCACATTCATATTTTCCTTTGGAAACCTGCTCCTGCCTAGAAGAATGGAAGCCCTGGAAGGGTTGGTATTTGGGAATGTAGACTAAATGCCCTTTCTCCCAGCCAACCAGCCTTTACCTGAAGAGCATCATTGCAACCTCAGCTGAACCCCAGGAGTCACAGTGACCTGGCACATGCCTTTGTTGCCCTAACATCTGGATTCTTGTAGGAAACTCTTCGCTGAATCTGTCTGAAGTTATTGAGGTTGAGACAGCTTCCTTTTTCTAAGAAGTTTATGGAATTTCAAGGAGGGTAGAAATAAAAATAAAGCTAAACTCAATTTCCTGTTTCTCAGACCAGTAAGGAGGTGAAAACAGGCCACCTGGCTTCAGTTACTGACCCCAGATCCATAGAGACCTCTTTCTTGTGCCTTAGTTTCTTTTAGGAAACCAGAAGAGGAAAGGAAAGGCATTTTCATTATCATTGTGTCTGTCTTTGTGTGTCTTCTGGTGTATTTATGCAATTGGGAATATTCTCACAAAATTCACAACACCCACAAAGGAAAAGTATGAAATTGGATGGTAATGCAAATAAATAACCAGAGATGGAACAAACCAGTGAGGTGTCTTTGATATAATGAGTATAGTTGCAAAGGGATAAGTAGACTCTGTATGTGTTATAATCAGTCACCAAGAAGCACATATGCAGTGGGGAAATTTTTTTTTTTTTTTTAAGGAAAAGAATCCTGGGAGATAATGCATGGTATGAAGGGATTAGTTCAGGATCTAAAAACAACTGAAAGGCAGCAATGTGCTATAGAATTAAGGAGGTGTACCCCAAGTTAGCAAGACCAATAAGGCACACTGTCTTAACCACCAATCAGTGTGGCAGGAAAAAGCTCAAAGAACAAGAATTAAAAACTAAGTCTTCGGAGCCAGGCATGGTGGCGCATGCCTTTAATCCCAGCACCTGGTAGGCAGAGGCAGGCAGATCTCTGTGAGTTTAAGGCCAGCCTGGTCTACATAGTGAGTGCCAGGACAGCTGGGGCTACAGGGACACCCTGTCTCAAAAAGATCCCCCCCCCCCAAAAAAAATCTAAGTCTTAGGGGCGGGAGAGATGGCTCAGCAGTTAAGAACACTGGCTGTTTTTGCAGAAGACCCGGGTTCAAATCCCAGCACCCATATGGCAGCTAACAACTCTAACTCCAGTTCCAGGGGGTCCAACAACCATTCTGTCCTCCGTGGGCATTGCACGACACAAGTGCACTTAGCTACATGTAGGCATACACATATACACATAAAATAAAAAAATAAAATAAAATATTAAAACAAAACCCAAGTCTTTATTTAGAAAATTTATCCTAAGGACTGATGCTGATAATTACAGTCAATTTCATAATCTTTTAGAGTACTTCCTTACATTATCTTAACAAGATTAAGATGTCAGTTTTGGAACCGGGGTGGGGTGGGGGGGTGGCTCAATGGTAGAGTGCTTTCCTGACATGTGTGCAGCCACCTGGCATGTTTGATCCCTAGAACTGCAAAAGAAAGGAAAGGTAATGTCATTTTATTAAAATTCTATTTTATTTGGGGAGCTTTTATCAAAAACAGTGCAGGCAAAGAAAGGACTTTCTAACGTTCCTATCTGTTTGGAGGATGTTATTCTAAGACGGTTTGGTGTTTTCTTGGGTTGACAATTATATTTTAATTGGGATAGGAAAGAATTATAGGACCACAATCTTTCCTTATATTTGTAAATTAATAATCTTGCTTGGCTTGTTTTGTTTAATACATAGCTTTGGCTATGTATTAAAAATGATAATTTGGGGGAAACTGGAAAACTTTTGATAACAGTGAATAACTGAATTAATATTTTACTTAATTTATATTGAATTGTCAATAATAAAAGTTCTTTTCTATTATGTTTTTAGTTCCAGATTATAACTGAACATTAAACAAAAGTTTTAATAATTGTAGTTCAAGGGCTGGAGAGATGGCTCAGCGGTTAAGAACACTGGCTGTTCTTGCAGAAGACTGGGGTTTGTATCCCAGCACCCACATGGCAGCTAACAACTGTCTGTAACTCCAGTCCCAGGGGATCTGACAGCCTCTTCTGACCTCTGCAGGCACTGCACGACCTGGGTGCACTTACCTACATTCAGGCAATACACATATACACATAAAAATAATAAAAAAAAAATTGTAGTTCAAAAAACCTACATTATAGCCATGCATGGTGGCACATATCTTTAGTTCCAGTACTCGGGAGGCAGAGGCAGGCAGATCTTTGTGAGTTCGAGGCCAGCCTGGTCTACATAGTGAGCTCCAGGCCAGCTGGGGCAATAGGGAGACCTGTCTCAAAAAAAAAAAAAAAAAAAAAAAAGCCCAGAAAATCCACATTATTATATTTATGCAATTATTTCTCATTCCAAAGGATGAATTCATCTTGGAATCTTTACAGTACAATTGCAAGTCACATGTCATTAATTTGGATTGTGATCATTTGACCAATCATCTGTCTCCTACTTACCTCCTATGGCATTGTCCAAAGATCACATTTTCTACATTTCTTGGTCATGACAGGCTCTCTTTTTGTACCTCCTTTTTATTTCTGTGACAGAAATAGAAGACTTAGGGTTGGAGAGATGGTTCATGGGTGAAGATCTACTGCTCTTGCAGAGGACCCTAGTTGGGTTCCCAGCACCCTTGTGGGACTGCTCACAACTGCCTGTAATTCCAGCGCCAGTGGATCCAATGCCCTCTTTTAGGCACCTGCACTCACACATGTACAGACACACATATATACACATAATTTAAAAATCTTTTTTAAGAAACATTTCAATACTTAATGCTGCTCCTAATAATTACCCAGACTTTGTCGTTTCTGTGCAGGGCGTATTTAGCTCAAGGAATTTATTTGTTGAATCAATGGTCAGTGAATTAGAGCTAGTAAAAATCAGGTCCCAAAGATAAAAATCACCAAAACATTAACTGGGAGCTCCTCCCCCTCCTTCACCCTGGGAGAGACAATGTAGGGCCTTGCTCGTGCTAGGTAAGTGTACCCATCATCTACACCCTCTGCCCTATAAACACCTTTTCATGTAGACAGTTTGGATATTGGGTTCCCAAGTAAACATTTGAGAATGGACTCTATTCAAACTTTGTAATCAGTTCACATAGCAATTTATTAAGCCCACCATGAGAGACAAGAAAGGACTTCATAATTGCTGATTTGTTACATTTAATGGCAGATTAGACGTGGTGAAGCTGGGTCTACCTTCCACATCAGACCATAAATTACCCAAGGGCAGACTAAATCTGTTCAACATGACAGGTCCTTGTGCGATGCCTGTGCTTAACAAGCCTGTTGTGAACGAATATATGATGCAGCTTGATGCATTAAACCGTCCGGGCAGCTAAAAGCTGTGAGCATATTCCACCCTACCCAGGAGCCTCTTCTGAAAGCACGTGACCCTGGTCACTTGATCTCCCCAAAAGACGTGCTCTACCATCCGAGGACCGGGAGGACCCTGCTCGCCTATCTATCCAGGGCTGGAATCGAACGTTTAATTACGAAGCAAAAAGAAATCCGATGACAGCGAGGATGAAGTCTAGGCACAAGCCTTACCGAACCACCAGGTCGCCCGACATTTCCCTCATTGAAGCATCCTCAAACTACAATCCCCAGCATGCACTGCAGCGCCTGCCCACTGCAGGATGAGGCGGCTGGTGCCTGTCCCTGTGTCCTCACCGATCCTTGCAGTGGCACCTCCCCCTGCCCGGGCCCGCTAGTTCCAGGGTCGCTGACAGTCACTCTCCCCAGCGCGGCGCCGTTTTTTCAGGAGTCTCGGGGCGGCGAGCCCGCCCCGACTTTACGTCAGGCTCCGCGCCCGGCGCTCCCCGGGTGACGGCCGAGGGTGGGCGTTCCGGCTCGGAGGACCCCGCCCTCGACCCCGGAAGCGCCTGGTTCCCGGCGGCGGTAGCGGTGATGGCTTCGGGACTGGGCGGCTGAGCTGCGCTGGAGTGGGCCCAGCGCCCGTGGTCTCCGCAGTAGCCGCTTACGTGCAGTGTGCGCCATGGCCACCTCCGCCGCCTCCTCGGAGCATTTCGAGAAACTGCACGAGATCTTCCGCAGCCTCCTAGAAGACTTACGAGGGGTGCCCGAGCGGCTACTGGGGACAGCGGGGACCGGTGAGGCGGAGGGAGGGGGTGGGGGACAGGACGGGGGACCTGTCTTGGAGAACTCAGCCGGGTGCTTCCGCAGACCCGGACCCCTGCTTCCTATCTCAGACAACGCCCCCCTCGGCCTGAGCCCCGGGCTCCTGCTGCCACTTGGGGCGCTCGGGGATAGGCGTCAGGGTGTCGTCTCTTGGGGATTCTCCCCCCGGGATTCTTATTTTCTGCCTAGGGGTTTCAAAACGATTTTTTTTTTAAATCATAACTTTGGGGTTTTGGAATCTAATGGTAATTTGCTAGGCAGAGTGGTGGAAAGAAATAATGAAAAATAAATATTTCTAGCTGTATGTAGAGTTTAGCATCTAGGTGAGAAAGTAGAAGGAGATACAGGAAGTCCTTTGAAGAAGAACTTAAATATCACATTAAGACTTTTTGATTTAACAGGGAAAATCAGTAAGGAACATAAGCAACTGAATAATGTGGACTTCATTTTAGAAACAAGGCTGTGGTAGCTGGGTAGAGGATGTGAGAATGAATGTAAGGGACTGGGTTAGCTTCAGCTGGTGATTGGGTAGCACCGAGTTCTGAAGAGAGAGCATTCAATTCAACAGGTGGTTCTGAGCCAGAAATTCCTGAGACTGGTGGATATGAGAAATTAGGGAAAGAGTTTATTAGGGAAAGAGTTTAATTTGTACGTTTTCTCACCTGGCTAATTGAGCGAATGAATTTATGAGAAGCAGACTTGTTTGGATTGTAGATGTGACCGTCAAGGGCATTTGTAGATCAGAGATCGTAATGTATAACTTCTATATCCTGACAAAATATTTTCTGTCATTAAAAACATTTATTAAGAACTTATTAATATGAGAAGCTGGAGAGATGGCGCTACAATTAAGAGCACTGGTTGCTCTTACAGAGGACCAAGTTCCATTCTCAGCACCCATCTCCGGTCACTCACAAATACCTGTACCTCCAGTTCCAGAAGAGCTGATGCCTTCTTCTGTCCTCCCTGGGCATTGTATGTATGTGGTGCACTTAACATGTATGCAGGTGAAACACTCATACACATAAAATTTTAAAAATCTAAGAAAATTAAAAATTGACATACATACCCAAAAGAGGTACTTATTTCCCCAAATATTCTCTCTTGGCCTTTGAAGGTTAGCTGTCACATGCATCCTATTTTAAGGTTTTTTGGGGCTGTGTATGTTTTACCATGTATGATGATTATTAATCCATTTATAGCATTCAGCACTTACAGCCATAATTTCTAGCCTTGGCTTTATACCATCTGGATATTTCTCCAGAAGCTCAGAGTGGTATAATTTCTTACCTAATTAATATGTTAAGTGCTTAACAGTCATTATTTCTAGTTTTGGTTTTGTGGTACCCAAAGTCACTTCCATTTGTCTTCATGAATATGTTAAAATTATTGAAAGTTCCATTTTAATTCACTTAAATGTCAGTATCTATAACCAAGATTCCAGTTTTTGTGTTTGTTTCTCTGGGAGAGGAGCATTGTTTGGAGATCAGAGGAGAGCATGTATTCTCTTTCCACCATGTGGGTTAGAGAAAGACAGGTCATCAGGCTGTGGCGATCATCTTTATTAGCTGAGCCATCTTGAGAACTCTGAGACCCCATATTTTGAGAGCCAGGAAAAAAAATTTTACAATATCATATGAGGCAGGGAGGTAAACACTACTCGCAAGAGTACAGGATTTTAATTGCTCCAATTCTTAATACTGTGATGAATTTTGTTTTTCTCATAGGTGTACAGATTTACTTTGAAAAACAGTGATAGTTTCTAGTTATTGAAACTTTATGTCTGGCACTTGCTAAGTGTATTATTTTCTTTAATCCTTTCAAGTATCACTATGAAGTCAGCACTGTTGCATCCACTTACAGATGAGGAAACAGGTTTAGAGGAGCGGAACTTTATTCTCTTGCATGGTGTGAGATCAAGTAAATTGTTAAATCTACAAATAGAACCTGTAGATCATAGAAATGGCACAGTGGGTCTCCAAAAGCAAATTAATCTTGTTTTAAAGATCTTGGTTGAAATTGAAGTTATTTCTATAATCTAATAAGCCAGTACTGCTTAGTTATTCTAAAGCTAGTAATTCAAGTCTCCATAGAGAATGGAGGCTTTCTACCTTGGTAGAACATTGAGTTGGGCTTTTCCTAGCTGTTTTTCAAAGCCTTCTGTCATCTTACTCCATGGCCTAGAGATGGTGCCACTCCATTTATCAAAGGAAGTGGTTGGTGCCTCACACATGACAGCATTAGGCATGCATAGTGC